GCCCAACTCTACTATGCCCTTCCACTGGACTTCAAGGAAGCTGTTCCACACCTGAACCATTGCCTGGAGACAGGGATGGATGAGGGCAAAGAAATTGAAATTTAATCCAGACAAGAAGGAAGTGCTAACAGTTTCTCATAGGATGGCTCAAGGAATAGGGTCACAACTTGAGCTAGACTGGGTTACACTCCCCCCAAAACCCAGTTTGGGCTGATTCTGGACTCCTCCTTAAATCTGGAAGCCCAGGTGGTAGAGGTAACTAGGATCACCTTTACATAATTAAAACTTGTGCACCAACTGCTCCTATTCCTGGAGTAATCAGACCTAGCCACTTTGGTACATACTTTGGTGACATCCCGATTGGACTACTGTAACAGGGGTCCCACCACAATATGTCATTATATGCAAATACAGGTTTTCTGAAATCTCCAAACATCCAAAATCCAAAAGAAGTATTTCAGATAAGAGATATTCAATGCTTATATCTTAAGATACATGTATATGATAAGGCACATGTGGTTATGTATGTGTGCATGTATTGTTTATCTTCACTCTTTGTTAGAGGTAACACAGGTTTTGTCAATCTTCCCTCCTCTCTAAAACGGAGTATTCTTTACCACTTCTTGCATCCTCTTACTATTATTACATCACCTCCTTCAAGGCCTCAAGAACTCTCTCACTTAAGTTTTCCTGCTGGCTCTGAAATTCCATGGTGCACATTCAGTTTCCTGCTTACTTCCTCCCACAGCTTTATATCTTTGTTTTCCATACAAAAGAAGTCTCAGTGGATTTCCTGTACCTCCTTCTCATGCTGCTGCTCTTAAAGTGACAGAATTTCAGACTTTAGCTGGGAAAGGGTTCAGTAATCAACAAAACAGAGAGTAAATACAGATTTCACAAATCCTGCCAAGATAAAAGAGCTCCAAGCAAGGATGATGGGATGCGGACAACTCCTTTACCTCCACTAATGATCATTTTTAAATCTTGGTCTACAGCCATTCAAGAGCACAGCCATCCAAGATCAAACAGATTTTCAAACTGTGGACTATCACAAATGTTTGCCCTGCATCCCTTTCCTGTGTTCTCCTGAAGTCTTCAACTTGATCTTTCACTGCATTTGCTCCAGATCCGTGCTTATGTCTCTCCTCCAGACAAACTTTTTCCTTGTTTTTATCTCACAGCTGATTTGCTGTTCATCATCCACACTTACCTTGTCCAGCCCTTAAGATATTTCAAGACATATATTAAAGGGCAAATGGCAGTTTAGGAGTTCCAGTTTTGCCAGGACTTTACTCTTGCAGTGGGCATGTGTGGGCATTTTGCACATGGTCATTCTGTGCCCAGCAGGATAAGTTTGTTTGTCATGAAAGGTCTTAGGACTGACCATTTTCTAGAAGCATCGCCTATGAAATTTCTGCTGCTCCTAGGTAGGTATTCTATTCTATTCTATTTTTGGATGAAGGTTAAGAATAAAGTGAAAAGTAAAGGAAACAATGTTTCATAGCGTTTACAAAAAGGAGATTTAGCCCAATAGTTATATATTGTTGGAGATCATATTTTTAATCAATACTTTGAATGTCCATTGATATGCCAATCTCCAGATTTGACTGGCTCACTTCAGCAAAGAAATTTCACAGTGTGTAGAGAAAGTGGGCATGCAAACCTTCTCTCTGAAGTGAATCACAAGAATCTCACTAATCAATTTGGTTGTATGTTGAGAAGACAGGGCGATGTGAATTTTAGCCTGCTGGTCAAAGTAAAGTCACATCACCCAAACAGCCAACATCTTTTCTTTCTTAAGAAAAACAACTTAAGAAGTTCTCTGTAGGAAAGAAGAAACACATTAATAATGTATAAAGTAATAGAGAAACAGGACAGATCTGAATTATATATCTACAAAGTTGTTTAATCTTAACCTTTAAAATATTTTGGTGATTATTATTCAGAGAAAGTAGCTTCTTTTTTGTTGGAGTAATTAATCTTTTATTCGTGTATTAGGGAATTATTTAAATTAATCTTAACTGGTAATTTTATCAAATTTATATTTTTCAGTCCCCAAAACATTTACTAATGAGTAAGCCCCCTTGAATTCAGAGAGTAACCATGCTTAGATTGCCTTGGTATCAACAATTCTTTTCTTAATCCTTACATATTTCATATGTTGATTGGTTTAGAAATTGTTTTTGAATTCTTCATTTAGACAACTCTTCAATAGCTATGATATAAAATAAATTCATCCTTTAGGATATTTTGAAGGACAGTTTTCAGGACACAGAATCAAGGATTAGATAAAACCTGTTTGCTGCCATTTAACATACTCCAGAATAAAGACCTTTTCTATAGCTAAGTCTTGAGAAACAGGGAAATTTTTAGAACTGAAGTTGTACGCTTCTATCACTGCACTAGGTATGCATAAAAATGTCATTTTATGGTCAGTTTCCAGTAGAAGAACCACAGAGTCATGCTAGAAGACCTAGACATTCCTAGAGAGAAGCTCTCTCAGGTTTGGTTTTAAAAAAACATTTTATTTGTAGTTTTTCACTTTGATGGTTGATGGGGAGGGGGTTCTTGGGCCCCTAACCATAGCTAATGTGGTGGGTTGACTATAAATCTGTTTGACACTGGATTTTCCATTTTCTTTAAGAGAGCATATCTTCTTCCAAAATTCTCTTTGAAAATTGTGTCAATATGTTCCAAACACGCTTATAGAGAACTTTTTTGGAAAAAAATCAGTGTTTGAGATAATATAATGTTTGTTTTTACTTCCATCTAGCATTTATATCCACACTGCTAGACATGAGCTACTCCTCTCAGAACTGTACTATGACATGCCATGAACGTGCTAAATGTGAAGTGCACAACGGCGTACAAGGCTGTTATTGTAGCCCAGGATTCACTGGACGAGGCATCAATGGACCAAATACAATTGGCTGTTATGGTAGGAATGATTGTCTTCGTGTAGTACCTTATAACACTTTGCTATGTTGTATCTTTTTAGTGTACTTATTGGACATCTATTTTTTTGACCACCTTGTAAATTATGACACAGGATGGCATCAAATATAGACACAAGGAAATAAAATGAGTCATCTAATTAATTTGCATGTTTGCGTATTTTCAGTATATTCTAGAAAATTTGTCACCGCCATCAGGATGGCTCAGGTGGTGAATCTGGCTAGATTAGAGTTCAGTTGGTACCACTGAGAAACAAAGGGGAGGTACCAACATATTTGAAGGAACCCCAGATTTTGCAGAAGTCTTTTGAAAATGAAGAGGCCCTATACTGGCCTCCCTGAGAAAAACAGCCCAGTGAGAACTGTGCAAGCAATAGCTGAGTGCCATTGTGAAAATAAAAGTGGGAAAGCAAAATGAGAATGGTGGGAAATAGGTTTCACTGGATACTTGGTTGCTTGTTTGGCATCCTAAAAAAGAACAAATCTGTCAAGAGATGAGAGAACATTACAACATTTATTGCCAAACCCATTTATTTGAAGAATAAAAAACATGGGAGTTCTTTTAAAAGACTGAGAGATTTCCTAGAAAAACCAGTGAAGGTGGATACAATATTACAATTTCTCATAGAGGTACTTCATAGTCAAGTTTTTCCACATTATATAATGTAAAACAAACCTGAAAGTATACTGAGTATTGCCTTTGTGGGAAAATAAACAAATAGTTACTATATGGACAGGGTGGTGATCTTGATATGTAGACCAAGAAGGAGAAAAAAAGGTGAAAGAGAGATACATCTGTTCAATGCCACCAATATATCTTTAATTTTTAGGTAAAATTATGTAAAAATGTACAAACTAAGTAAATGCACTTCCAAAAAGATAACAGCTCATTTCATCATTCTGATTTCCATTTTGATGAAGAAGAATAACACCAATAATAACAACAAAAAAATATCATATCAATTCATCTCACAATGAGTGTTGCGATAACTATAACTTTATACAACAATGACCTAGCTATTTGGCATACCTTTTCCAGAATATGAAGACAGAAAATCCCATGTTATCTGAGTGTGGACTCAGATAACCTAGTTCAAAGCAGATATTGAGGGATTTTCTGCCTTGATATTCTGGGATATAGGGTTTTGTGGAAGGGCCCTTAGAGGAAGGTTTATGAACAAGTAGCTCCCATTTCAACTCACTTCTACAAACTTAAGTTTCTTAACACCAACATGCAGAAGTAAAAATAAACAGAGTTTTCCTGTCACATATCTAATAAAGTAAGATCATACCTAATTTGCTTGTTAAAATCAATATTTCAGGTAGTTTGTGGAGCCCCCTGTGGCACAGTGGGTTAAACCCCTGTGCCGGCAGGACTGAAGACCAACAGGTCGCAGGTTCGAATACGGGAAGAGGCAGATGAGCTCCCTCTATCAGCTCCAGCTCTTCATGCAGGGGCATGAGAGAAGCCTCCCATAAGGATGATAAAAACATCAAATCATCCGGGTGTCCCCTGGGCAACATCCTTGCAGACGGCCAATTCCCTCACACCAGAAGGGACTTGCAGTTTCTCAAGTTGCTCCTGACACGACAAAAAAAAGAGGGTAGTTTATGCCCCTTGTTCTTTATGCTCAGAACAAATGTCAAAAGGCTGTTAATGTTAACAAATATTTTATTTTATTCAGCAGTGAATTGAGGGTACAGTTATAATGTATTTTAAAAAACACAAAGTTAAAAACTTGGCATTATACTAGATTTTCTTTGACCAGAAGCTGGCTACTTGGAGTGCCTCTGGTGTCGCTGTAAGAAGGTCCTCCATTGTGCATGTGGCAGGGTTCAAACTGCATTGTAGTAAGTGTTCAGTGCTTTGCTCTTCTCCACACTTGTATGACATGGACTCTACCTTGTAGCCTCATTTCTTAAGGTTAGCTCTGCATCTCGTGGTGCCAGAGCACAGTCTGTTCAGCACCTTCCAAGTCACCCAGTCTTCTGGGTGCCCACGAGGGAGTTTCTCATCTGGTATCAGCCACTGATTGAGGTTCCGGGTTTTAGTCTGCAATTTTTGGACTCTCGCTTGCTGAGGTGTTCCTGCGAGTATCTCTGTAGATCTTAGAAAGCTGTTTCTTGATTTAAGACATTGGAATGCTGGCTCATACCCGAACAAAGGATGGACCAGAGATGTCAATGCCTTGGTACTTTTTTTACTGGCTGATACTTCCCAACGGATGTCAGGTGGTACAATCATTGCTAAAGAAAGTATTTAAATTGTGATATAGTTTTGCAATAATGAGATCGGAATTCATTAGAACAAATGCATCCGAGATCACTTTTTCAATAAACTATAATATACAGGCAGTCTCTGAATTACAAACAAGATAGGTTCTGTAGATTTGTTGTTATGTTGTATTTGTATGTAAGTTGGAACAAATACATTTTAAAGTGGGACTCCAGCCAAAAAAAAAGGAAGGGTTAATACCCCTGTGGAGTTTGTTTTGCTGTCTGTGCCCCTGTTCAGAAAATTTCACCTCACTTTCTGTTCCTGTGACAATTGGATTTTGAACATTTTGGGTTGTCATGGAAACAAGCATTGATGAGAAAGCTTCAGTGGATACCCCCTCTTCCCATGCGAACTCTTACAAAGAGCAAATTTCCCTTCCTAGAGGTAGATTTCCTCTCACTATTGTCTCACCCCCATTTGTAATTAGGAGTCATATGTAAGTTGGATATTTGTAACTCGGGAACTGCCTGTATACTGGCTGTTTTTTTACTATTGGCGGATTTAGCCATATTTTTCTGAACTGGAAAATGCTATGCAATACTACTCCATATTTCACTTTGAGAAACTCAATGTTTAAAAAAGGGTGACTCAGTTGGAGTTTTCTGGGGGGGGGGGACGGGACTTTCAAGTTCTGTTTTGCTGAGAAAGTTTATAAGAGAGAACAGTAACATGTGTCATTGATAAATATACTGTTCTTTTGCCATTTTCACTTAAATTGCTTTTCTTCAACTGAACCATTCAGCTTTCGAACTTTGATATGTGTTCCATTGTTGTAATATCGTGATCAATCACAACAATCAATGGTACATCTGAGCATAAATCAGAACTTTAAAAGGTTTGGCATTGGGCATGCCAGTGGTCATGTTGAGTGGAACTGGCAGATATAGCCCCAATAGTTACTTTTCAAGCTCTGTATTATTTGTGAAACATCTATTCCCATTGTAATCGATACTACACCTACAACAGGAAATGAAATTGCCAGGAAGGTTTTCTGTGTGTGCTTAAGATTTACCGATTCTGGTAGAAATTACTTGGTGGTTAGGATTTTGAATAATGTGTTCTTTATCCATTAAATTGCCATTTGACACTAGTCCTCCTTCAAGTGAGTTCTTCACTCCATCTGAATGCATAGTAAGAACAGAATCTTTTAAGTAGCATTGCTCTGTGTCCATGGCTGTGCAGTTCCATCTCAGGAGGTAGTATTTTGGTCCCCACTCTGCTAGTTTTTAGGCCTACAGTTCAGATACTAACTGGAAACTTCTGCTGTTGTTGTGAATTTGGCCTGTAATCCTATGTACATTCCCACTAAACTCAGTAGAGTTTTGTTTTTAAAGAACCAAACTGTTAATGGGTGATCATCACTGTAATGCAATGCATGTTTATTCAGAATGAAGAACTACTGGAGTACCAAGTAACTACTACTTGAGGAGCTAGCAAGGGTTAGTGGTTTGGGTGTTAAACCAGCTTGGGGAACCAGGGTTGAAACCCCTTCTTGGCTGTCTATACAATGGGATGGCCATCTTTGTAAATAAATATTTTGAAAAGAAATCCATAAGGTAAACTATTCTGTTAACAGCTTTATATTTTTACATATTTTATATTTATACCTTTTCAATTATTACCTGATCCTACTGAGCTTAATGGAAATTACATCTGAATAAATCACCGCTTTGAGTCGCCTGAGGGCTGAGAAAAGCGGTATATAAATAAAGTAAATAAATAAATAAATATTTTTAAGATTGCGCAATGGTTGCAAATTTCTGATTTACTGATAGAAAAATTATTTTTTCCTGTTTTATCCATGTGTAATTGCAATATATGGTAAAGACTTAGGCCCCTTCCACACAGCTGAATAAAATACATTATCTGCTTTGAACTGGAATATATGGCAGTGTGGACTCAGATATTGTGTGATTTTCTGCCTTGATATTCGGGAAGTGCATTCACACAGGGTGGAAAATGCACACCTTCACAGATTTTATGTGGGGCATCCAAACAACGCCTCACATTGCATTAAATTAACACAAAGCAGGTAAACCCTGGAAGACTCTGGTCTAATCAAGTATAGATAGTGCCTGGACCGCCCCCTCAAAAGTCCTGGACTTCTGAGAAGCAGTCCAGACAGCCCTCTTGCGTTTTCTAGGCTTATTCAGCCTGGAATATCCAAGAGGATTTAATGCCCTCTCTAACCCACCTAGAAAAGCGTTAAAAAGTAAAAAAAAATCACTTACCCAGCTGGCATTTCCCTGCCGCCAGCCCTCTCCTAGCATGTAGAAATGACACACAAGGAGAAAGGGGGGAGGAAAGCTGCTCCTGCCCTCCCTTCTCCTAGCGCATCATTTCCATGCACTAGGAGAGGGCTGGCAGAAGGGTAAATAATTTTTACTCTTTAAGACTTGGGGGGGGGGGTGTTATTGGTGTCTGGGTTAACTGGACACCCCCCCCCCAAGAAAGCAGGGGGGGTTACCAGTATGGGGACAGAAGTCCAGCCTGACCCAGATTTTTTAAACCGGCATTGGACCGGACTTTTCCGCTATCTGGAACCACTCTGGGTTATATGGCTATGTGAAAGGGCCCTTTGTAAGCATTGGCAATATAATGTCCCACAATCTGACAATACAAATTTCAATTTCTCACAATTCCTCAGAGTGACGGTATGTGGTCAAAGTCTCTTTGCCATAGTGAACAGTGTAGAAGTAGCATTTT